GATGTTATTGGACTTGGGGGGAAACCGGAGCACCCGGAGGAAACCCAGAAGAACACGGGGAGAACATGCAAACTCCACACAGAAATGCTGCCTGACCTAGCCGAGGCCCGAACCAGCGACCTTCTTGCTGTGAGGCTACAGCGCTTCCCCACTTTTTACACTTTTAATGTTTAATTATTTTCATACTTAACTAAGATATACAAAGATATACATATTATACTAAATATTTTCATCCATTCATACATTTCCTTTTCGGCTTAGTCCCTATATTAATCTGGAGTCGCCACAGCGGAATGAACTGCCAACTTATCCAGCATATGTGCTTACGCAGCGGATGCCCTTCTAGCTGCAACCCATCACTGGGAAACACCCATACACACTGACTTACTAAGGTTAGTTTTAGTATTAAGTTTTAGTATTATACCCAATTCACCTATACCTCATGTCTTTGGACTGTGGGGGAAACCAGAGCACCCATGGGAAACCCACGTGAACACAGGGAGAACACGCAAACTCTCGAAAAGGCTCAAACCAGCGACCTTCTTGGTGTGAGGCAAACGTGCTACCCACTGTGCCACCATGTCCCCAACTAAATATTTTAACTTTTAGTAATTTTCAGAATGCAACTTTAAAAACAGTATAACATACCACATAACTGTCCTACAGTACAATTCACTTAATATTACAGTTAAATACTGTGTAATTTACAAAAATCATTAACAGTGTACTTTATGAGCTGGCTATATTTTTATAGAATTTTTTCAATTCATATTCGAAAATGTAAGATTTTCATAAAATGAAAATAGAAAGTTATAAACGAGAGTAAAGTAGAGGAATAAACTCACTACAGTTTGACAAATATTGCAGCTGTTGGACAACATATTGTACTTTTGAGGCCTTTTTAGGCGAGAAAGTAGTTGTTTAGATTGCAACTGTGCAGTTTATTTATAGGAATAGTGCCTATTTTCAAATATTTATAATTTCGAAGATTCAGCGCATTGGCGACCATCAGCATGCAGAGCAATAAAACTGATGATTGACCAAAACAAGATGGCGACAGACTGCATAATAAGTCCTTAGGAGAGAAAAACTCAGCGTTTTATTTTATTTCAAACTACAGCAGATCAAACTATTATAAAACAGGTAAGTGGCATTCCAAGTCTATCTCTCTCTTTTGTATTTTGTAGTGCTGAAACCTATACCATAGTAATCTTCTAGTGTTTGCACTGCTTTGGCTTTTTAGGGTCATTTATTGTGATCTCCAGTTGGCAACAGAGAAATACTGGGAAATTTCTGTAAACTGATGGCACTTAATGCCGTTCAGCCTTATAGTCTTAAAATGTGACCAAAACCATGTTATGTAGTCATTTCAGACATTACGCTCTAGAATCATTCAAACACTAACTCTCTAAAGAGGCAATGGTGAATGAGTAACGCTTTCTGATGTTCTGACCGTCAGCTGCAGATGTGAATGAATGGCAGAAGAAAGTAAATCCTCGTACAAAAGGGTTTTTGAGACTCTGTGTTTGATTTTCTTGTTCATATACACGATTATGTCGTTGAACTGTTGTATAAACCCAATACCACAATCGTAGCATTATGATATGGCTGTATTTCATCACTGGTGGGGCGCACTAAAGTAATCGTCCTGCGGCTTTGAGCCAACACACGCCTCCCACCAGTGCAGATGTGCAGCCATATTGCACTGCTACTCTTGTGATTTTGCTCATATTTATCTCACAAAATGATTGTATATTTCACAGTTTGTATTTTTATATCCCACAATGTGACTTTATATGTCACAAATTTAACATCTCACATCATGACTTTAAATGTCAAAGTGTGATTTTTTAAAATCACAAATAGACTGTCTGTACATCTCAGAAAGTGGCATCATATCTCACATTATGACTATATATCACCATGTTTCATTTCTCTCACAGGGGACCTTCTGATATCTGACATTTTGCTTATATCTCACATTGTGACAAAATATCACAAATGAGACTTGATATCTCACCTTTGCACTCTAGATTTCACATTATGACTTTAAATCTCATGATGTGCTTTTATTTCTTATTTTAAACTATCACCTTTTTTATTTAAAGCCAGACTTCATTTGCAAACTCTGAAAAAAGGAGGAAAATTGGTATAGACTGAAAAGAAGAGTGTATGAAGTTATATGTGACTATTTAACAAATTTAAGTTGTATTGTTGGGCAAATATTAATCATTATTAATTGCATCCAAAATAAAATTAGCTTTGACATAATATATATATACATACATACATAATATACAAAATATACATACATACCTACGTACGTTCTAACTATTCAATTTGTTTTTTAAAAGTGTTGTAATTTAAAACAAAGCCAATTTAATTGCAAATATTCAGGTAAAAAAAATGCAGAATTTGTAAATTATATCATTTTTTTTTCAGCAACTAGCCAAATAATGCAAAATTTTTAGTATGAAAAATAGGAATTTACCTTATTATGCCAGAAATTTCATCACACTTCAGCACAGCTAGTGGCAGAAGTAGGCATATCTGATACTAAAATCAGCCAGTTTTTACCATGGTACATTTGAGTGTGTTTTGATTAGACAGTCCTGTCCACCAACGCTAGCACAAGCCATTACAGAGACACTGACAATCCCAAACACTGACATTAAAACTGCGCCCCTTCAGCCCAAACAAAAGCCACTGGCCATGATTCAATGTGTCACCGGTGAAATATTCATCACGAAAGAAAAGTTCCTCTGAAGTTGCTTTTGATTAATCAGCTATGAAGACTATGAAGGACTTCTTTGCACACCAGTCGCATTAAGGTGACCCTTTAAGAAATGTTTCAAGTTCAATCCTAATTAAGCAATTTTGACGTAATGCTGATCAGCAGAGAATTTATTTTTGACTAAAACTAATAAAATAATATATGAATCTTGTTTTTACATAATATATAAGTGTATTATATATATTTATTATGTATACGTAATACACAGACACATAGATTAAAACAAAGCCAAACTATTTTATTTTTTACAAAGATATATATATATATATATAATTTGTATGATATGCTTATATATGTTATATATAAATATGAATAAAAATGTTTACTGTGTATATTAATTATGTATACACACTTACACATTTTTATTTATATAGTGCATCCTGAAAGTATTTATAGCACTCCACTTATATATATACACACAGTTGAAGTCAGAATTATTAGCCCCCTTTTGATTTTTTTTTTCTTTTTTATATATTTTCCAAATTATGGTTAAAAGAGCAAGGACATTTTCACAGTATGTCTGATAATCTTCTGGAAAAAGTCTTTGTTTTATTTCAGTTAGAATAAAAACTGTTTTTATTTTTCAAAAAACATTTTTGGGACAAAATTATTAGCCCCTTTAAGCTTTTTTTTTTTTTGATAGTGTACAGAACAAGCCATCGTTATAGAATAACTTGCCTAATTACCCTAACCTGCCTAGTTCACCTTATTAACCTAGTTAAGCCTTTAAATGTCACTTTAAACTGCATAGAACTGTGTCTTGAAAAATATCAAGTAAAATATTATTTACTGTCATCATGGCAAAGATAAAATAAATCAGTTATTAGAAATAGGTTTTTAAAACTATTACGCTTAGAAATATGCTGAAACAATCTTCCCTCCATTAAACAGAAAAAAAAAAAAAAAAAAAAAAAACAGGGGCGCTAATAATTCAGGGGGGCTAATAATTCTGATTTCAACTGTGTATATAATAGTTATGACTAAAGCCAAAAAAATAATACTACAACAAAATTCTTTATTCATTCATCCATTCATTCATTCATTCATTCATTCACTCACTCATTCATTCATTCATTCATTCAATTATTCATTCATTCATTCAATCACTGATTCATTCATTTATTTATCTTATCATTACTTCATAAATTAATTAATTCATTTATTAATTAATTAATTTATTTATTTGTTCAATCATTACTTCATTAATTATTTAATTTATGTATTTACTAATTAATTCATTTATTCCTTTATTAATTTATTAATTAATTTATTAATATATTCATTTATTCATTCATTCATTCATTCAATAATTCAAATTGTAAATTATCAGACAAAAAATAATTTCGACTAATACAAAAAACTAAATAAAAACATTCATTCATTCATTCATTCATTCATTCATTCATTCATTCATTCATTCATTCATTCATTCATTTTAAAATACCCCCCTCCCCCAACTTTATTTGTAAGTTATCAGGCAGAAAATAGTTGACTAAAGCAAAAATTGAACAATAAAAAATTAACATTTTAAAATTTATTTTCTGATTAATTTCCCCCAAACTTTAATTGTTAATTATCAAACAGAAAATAACTTTGACAAAAACCTATATCTTCTTCTTTTTTGGCCTTAGTCCCATATGGTTGCGGGGTCAGCTCATTTTCACAGAAATGCTAACTGAGCCGAGGTTCGAACCAGCAACCCAGCGACCTTGTTGCTGTGAGGCGACAGCACTACCTACTGCGCTACTGTTTCGCCCATATATATATAAATATATATATATATATATATATATAAATATATATATATATATATATATATATATATATATATATATATATATATATATATATATATATATATATATAAAACTTTGACTAAACTATCACCTTTTTTTTCAAAGCCAGACTCCATTTGCAAACTTAAAAAAAATAAATAAATAAAATATATCAATAAATAAAAATATAAACAGCAAAATGGGAAGAAGGAATGGGAGACTGAAAAGAATAGTGTATGCAGTTATGTGTGCATGCACAAATCAAAAATAACGAAAAAAAATTCAATAAACCAAAATATTTTAAAAACTGAATTTTTATAAAAAAATTATAATATTTTCCCCTCACTTAATTAGTAAGTAAAAAAAACCCTCAATATGAAATATTCCGAAATTTATATCTATTTTTGATATGCAAGTGTGTGTTTGTTTACCTTGCACAGCAAAAAGGAGTTGTTTGGGGTCAACAATTGTGGTTTTCTTTTCTGGAGACTTTTTTCCAGTTCGACGATGGCCCCTCCGTTTCTTACTCTCTCCCCATAGGTTGGAACCTCCGTGCATGCTGGGAATATTAAGGATGGCGATGCCTTCCAATGAGATGTTGCTGAGATTCAGGGTGATACCATCACACTATGAAAATATGGACACATACAGTATGTTAAAAAAGAGGTGTGTGTTTATGTACATACAGCCTGTTAAAATTAGATTTTTTATATAGATAAATTAATGCCATATTTAACAATAAAAAAAATAATATTGTTATAAGAGAGTCTGTGTCAAATGTGTTAGTATTTTCTGGAAATACAACACACTCCTGAAAGCAATAGTTTTTGCATTAAAACAATAGAGTAGTGTTTTCCAGTGTTTCTGCAGGGGGTGGCTGAGTGTTAGAAAGGCGATAAGGCATGTGGTTTCTCACTTATTCTCATTACCTCCACCTCAAGATAATCATGCAGCTTCTTGCAAGTTGCTGAGAAGGTTTCTGAGGTCCCAAACTCGAAGTACCAAAGCTTATTCTTTGTCCTGAAAACAACAACATTTGTCAGTTTTAGAGCATGTCATGCTAGAGGTCATATAATCATTAAGAAAATAGGTAAATATCTGAGCTGTAACCAGGCATGTAAACTATCTGAGGATAAAGATGATTATCAGCCAGTTTATGCTCTTTTCCCCTCTTTTTACGTTATATTTATTACCTTTATTCATTTGAAAAAAAAATGCAAAATGTTTATATATATTTTAGAACAATTTTATTTAATATAATATGATCTTATTGATTAATCTACAAAATATAGATCTTTTGGTATCCTGTTTTATGCATGCACAGTCCCAAAAATATACTAATGATGCATTTGAAAAAGTTCAGAAACAGTGATTACTGATTTTGGGTAATTCCACCTTTGTGGTTTGGTTTATTTGGTCCGGACCAAGGGCAACAAGTGATACATTGTAGCATTTTTCTGCCTTTTTAGGGTCATTTTCACACTGATAGCTTTGGTCCGATCCAGTTGAAAAGAACCAAAATGCAGTCCTGTGACAAAATCCACATCAATCATTGACTAGATGTTATTAAACGCATTTCCTAAGCTGCTTTTTGATTGGTCAGAATTAACGTGCGGGAATATGCCAATGGAACTCCTGCAAGTAAACTAAAAAGCAGACAGAAAATGGCTCAACTGCGCTAACATATCGGACTACAGCATCTGGATTAGTGCAAAAAGGCACAGTGCTTTTTGCGGTTGGGTCTGTTTTAGTTCAGATCATGTTCTCACCACAAACAAACCGCACCACCGCAACTCAACTGCGATTGCTACATTTATGCCGGCCCAAACAAACTGCACCAAGAGGAAAAACGACCTCTAGTGCGATTCAACCGAACTAAATAAGACAGGTGTAAAAACACCCTTAGAAAAGAATTCACTTTGTGCTTTGTACATTTGCAGGTATTTTCAAGCACGAAGAGTGTTTTGTGCTGAATTGAAAGTGTAAATAACACAATAAGATACATTTAAAAGGGTCATGAACTGAGAAAAACTTGATTTAAAAAAAAATATATATATATAAAAAAAAAAAAATAAAATTATATATATATATATATATATATATATATATATATATACTGTATATATATAAATATATATATATACTATAACACAACCCACGAGTTTCAAAACTCAAAACATCTTACTTTAAAGCTAATCTGCCACAACTATCAGACCTTTTTTATGTAATACTGCCTCTCAACTCCACCTCCACAGAAAATAGTGCACGTCAAGCAGTAAAAGGTATCTTTTTCATCTTAAAAAGAGATTTGTTCTAACCATCTGTGACCACAAGAGGCAAAATTTATTTTTTTACAAACAGTTTATAAGCAAATGCTATTATGGTTTTAGAAACAGTCCTGACAAAACACCACCATAAACTACTGTAATTTCTTCAGGAACAGATTATGTGCTTTTTTTCAGTGTTAAATGCTTGCAATTCTTCAAAATATCATATTTCAACAAAAGAAAGAAATTCAAACACGTCAAAGAACAATACAAAATAAACAAAGAAGCCGGTTCATGACCTCTTTTAATGTTTTAGAATAATGCATAACCTCAACCCACGATCAATGTCTGGTCTGCATCTTGGCATGAAAGTGATATGCAGGGCTACTCAAAAACTGAGGCACATGGCGCAGACCCCTACCACCACAGAGCCCAGCGAGGGTTCAAAGAGGGTAATCTAGCTAGCCCTTCAATTAAGAGCGGACCCCTGTTCCACACCCCACACACGGGCTCTTTGGGACCAGGATCATGAGCAGTGACCTCAGTCCAACAAACCACCATCTGTTTTCATTACCGCAGACACACACACACACACACACCTGAACCTGCTGCAGCAGAACCAAACACAGATAGACTGACAGATTTATATAGTTACACTATTTGAAGTATAACATTTCAGCTTTACAGAGCAATTAAAGATGTGAATGCTTTGCTGTATTAGTTAGCAACATATGATAGAATTAGGGTTAAGATTAGTTTGGTTTAGTGTTAATTGCATGCAATTATGAAAATGTACTGCTTTTACAAAACAATGTGCAAAACAACAAGCAATGTGCACTGTGTAATTTATCCTGTAATATGACACTAAAATAAAGCATTGCTTTTTATTGAAATCAACATATGAATTATAAAAAGTAAATAATATAATATATAATTAATAAATAAAAATGTAAGTAAACTAATAAATTAAATAGAAAAAAACTATCACAACAAACAAAGGACTATATATATATACAGTTGAAGTCAGAATTATTAGCCCTACTGAATTATTAGCGCCCCTGTTTATTTTTTTTCCCAATTTCTGTTTAAGGGATGGAAGATTGTTTCAGCACATTTCTAAGCATAATAGTTTTAAAAACCTATTTCCTATAACTGATTTATTTTATCTTTGCCATGATGACAGTAAATAATATTTTACTTGATATTTTTCAAGACACTTCTGTACAGCTTAAAGTGACATTTAAAGGCTTAACTAGGTTAATAAGGTGAACTAGGCAGGTTAGGATAATTAGGCAAGTTATTCTATAACGATGGTTTGTTCTGTAGACTATCGAAAAAAAATTAGCGTAAAGGGGCTAATAATTTTGTCCCAAAAATAGTTTTTAAAAAATTCAAAACTGCTTTTATTCTAGCTAAAATAAAACAAATAAGACTTTTTCTAGAAGAAAAAATATTATCAGACATACTGTGAAAATTTCCTTGCTCTGTCAAACATCTTTTGGGAAATATTTAAAAAAGAAAAAGAAAATCAAAAGGGGGCTAATAATTCTGACTTCAACTGTATATATATATATATATATATATATATATGGCGAGCGGCGGTGAAGTGAGGCAACAACACAAGGAAGCGCCGGCGAAGTGAGGCAACAACACAAGGAAGCGCCGGCGAAGTGAGGCAACAGTACGAGAAAGTGCTGGCATCTTTCAAATCTGCGGTGTGAGAACATTTTGGTTTTGCCAGTAAGAATATTGCCAATAAAAGAAAAAACGGTGAACAAAAAATAACTGTGTGCAAACATCTGCAGCACCATCACCCAGCAATATCACTGTCTGAAGGCAGGATAGCAGAGAAGATAATAAAGTCCTCCAAATACCAGCAATCCCTTGCTGAATCTTTCAAGCAAACATACCCAACTGGTTCCGAGAGACACATAAAAATAACAAAGGCAGTGCGGGTGATTATTGCTAAAGATTTGCAGCCGTTTTCGGTGATTGGAGATGCAGGCTTTTGTAATTTTATAAAAGCACTCGATCCACGCCACAGACTACAGTCTTGCATTTTTTCAGCACCAAGATAATTAAGATGGTTTATTTATGTTTACTTAAGTACAAATATTTTTATTTGAAATGGTCAATTTATATTTATTAACTTCACATGTATGTTTATTTTCAAAATGTAGGATTTTATGTGTTGTACATGGACTACCAGCAGCTGTGAGATTTCAGTGTTAATTTTTTATATACATTACACTAGCAACTAGTGTACATTTCTTGGCTTTTAAGTAAAACAAAATGAGTACTGCAATAAATCGTTTTTATTTTTTTCTCCTTAACCTCTTACTGCTCCTTATGCCTATATAAAAAAAAAAAAAAACACGCGCCAAGCCATGAGAACCGAACCGAAAACCGTGTTAAAAAACCGAGGTATGTATTGAACCCTGGGCTAACTGCATTGTTGCATCCATACTATTTATGTATGTATTATATCATCTTTGCTTCAAATTACAAGAAACTAATTACTGTAGCGCTTGTACGAGGGGTTTCTAATGCAGCGTCTATGGGACAGGACAGTAAATTTGATGTTATTCTCTCTTTTGGTTGCTGTCATCAGTTCCACACAATTTTTTCTTTCTTTCTGAAAGTTTTAATAACATCATCATGGAGTTTTTCTTTTATTATTTTGAGCAAATAAAATTATTTGCTGTATTCTTTAATTTACTGCAGTAAGTTACGCTCTAAGTTTTCCCAACTATGACGACTTCCGCCACTGAGAAACTGAAAGTGTGAAAAGGGTCTATTAAATGTATTTATACTAAAATTAAATACCTGAATAAAATAATACAATAATATATTTAAATTTTGACAATGTATTGTGTGAAAGTGAATATATTTAAAAAATGTGACTAAAACATATAAAATACATAAATTAAAACGAATAAAACACATGAAAAACCAACTAAAATGAACCAATTAATAAATAAACAAACGTGTTAAAATTAAGCAAAACAAACTAAAATGAAATGTACACAGTTGCAGTCAGATGTATTCGCTTTAAATGTTTTATCTTTGTAAAATATTTCCTAAATGATGTTTAACGGAGCAAGGAAATTTTCACAGTATGTCTGATAATATTTTTTCTTCTGGAGAAAGTCTTATTTGTTTTATTTAGGCTAGAATAAAAGCAGTTTTTAATTAAAAAAAAACACCTAAATGTCAATATCACTAGCCTATTTAAGCTATATATTTTTCAATAGTCTAAAGAACAAACCATTGTTATACAATTACTTGCCTAATTACCCTAACCCGCCTAGTTAACCTAGTTAAGCCTTTAAATGTCAATTTAAGTTGTATAGAAGTGTCTTAGTCAAATATTATTTACTGTCATCATAGCAAAGATTAAATAAATCAGTTTTTAGAATTGAGTTATTAAAACTATTATGTTTTGAAATGTGTTGAAAAATCTCTCCATTATTGGGGAAAAATATATACAGGGGCCTAATAATTCAGGAGGGCTAATAAGTCTGACTTCAACTGTATATTTTTTTGGCCACAGAAGTTGCCAAGAGCTTAAAACAATAACAAAAAAAGTAACTTGTTGTGAAAGTGAAGCCCAGTATACAGAGAGTGTTTGCTGGTAATTTTTTAGATTGAAAAAGCAAACAAACACTGCTACAACAACAGAAAAACACAGAAAGGCTGTTTGAAAGCTTCTCTCCAACATCAATCAGTGCTTCTGTAATTAAAAGCGAGGTG